TTTAATTATAAAAAATTTGAAAATGAGACAATTTTTTTGTTTTTGGTGGGACTCTTTTTCGGTTTGGTTTTTTCAAATTTTTATGTATTTTATATTTTTCCAATGAGGGCTGGGATTCACTTTTTTTGAATATTTTTTTTCAGTTTTACATTTTTTATATGTTTTCATTTTTCTTTATATTTTCTATAAAAAAATTTTTGAAAGTAAGATTCACAATTCTTTGTGCTTTGTGGGACTCTCTTTTTTTTTTTTTTTTTTACGGTTTGTCTTTTAAAAACTTTCAAATTTTTTTATATATTTTATTTTTTTTATTTCAAAGGGATCCATTATTTTGGGAGAAACCCATTATTCTATTATAATTTTTTTTTGGAATCTGTTTTTTTTACTAATCTTTTAGGGTGACGAGGTTTTTTATTTCGAAGGGATACATTTCTTAATTTTTAAAAAAATTTAATTATTTATTATATATTTTTATTACTTAGTTGATACAAAATGTTGTGTTTCTTTTTAATTAAGTTTTCATTTTATATATTTTTTCATTTTTTTTATATTTAATAAATTATTGTTTAGATTTTAATTTTTTATCAATTTGTCAAAAATATGTGAGTAACAAATAATTTATTTATTTTTTACTTTTACCGTTTAATTTTTTTTCTTGTTGATAAATTTTTTATTTTTTATTTAATAAATATACTTGAAATATTTTTTTAACTGATGAACAAATTTGATATTATTATTAAGGATATATTTTTTAGTTATTTTTTATATGATAATTTTAAAAATTATTAACGAGGAGGTCAATGTCATATCTTAATTTAATTTTTTTGTCCTTTCTTTTGGTTTTTTTTTTTCAAATTCATGATATAAATTTGTCAAAAAATAATTATTGCCGGTGTTATGTGTCAACTTAATTTTTTTTTATTTTTTTCAATAGTTTTTTTATTCCTGTTTTTTCCACTTTTCTATTTAATAAATATTTTTTATTTATTCTTTTATGGGTAGGGTAATTTTTATTAATAATTAGAATAATTTTTGTACCTTCTTTTGTAATTAAATAGTTTTGTATAGAAATATATTAATGGATGTATCAACATGATATCTAGATTTGATTTTTTTTTAAAATTTTTTAAAATTTTATAATATAAGAAAAATGATCTTCTTAATCAATAATATCAAATTGGCTTTGCAAACAAAAAATCACAATATAATAAAAAAATTAAATATAAAAAAGTAAATAAAAATAAAAATATATAATACAAATTTTACAAGAAAAGTTAATAGTGATATGGGTATAAAATAACCCACATCCGATAAGTTTTAATTTATTTGGATTTAATACAATTATTTTACAAAAAATTAAGATCAAGTCAAAAATAAATTTATGATGTTCTGTTTTACTTTAATTATATATGTTAAATTATAGTTTAAATTATTTATTTAATTTTATATTTATATGTATTATATTAATAAAATTATTATTTAATATCTTAATTTAATAAAAAATTATATTTATGCATAATTAAAATTAAATTTATTTATTATATAAATTTAATTCAATTTTTTTGTTTGATCTTCATTTAAAGTCTCAACATGCCATTTTTTTCTCTTTTTTCTTTTAACTTCTTATGGACTTTTTATTTTGATAAATTTTGTGAAAAAAAATATATAAATGCCTACGTGATACCCCGATTTATTTTTTTTGATTTTTTTAATAAAATAAAATTTATAATAAAATGAGCTGATTTATAGCAATGACAAAATAATTTGTATAATACCCCGATGAGCTTTCCTTTACTTTGTTTAAATTCTTTTTTCTTTAACCCCAATCTTGCTTTTTTTTTTTTTTATGATTTTCACATGGCAATCCATTTGAGTTTTTTTTATCTTTAGTTTCTTTTTTGCATTTTTTTAATAAGATAATTTTTGTAACACAAGTTGCAAATTTATAAATATGTCAAAACAATTTGTATCTCACAATTCTTGATTTATCTTAATTCAACAAATAGATGATTTTCAAAAATCAAGATTGAATTACGACAAGTTGAATTTTTAAGAAAAATACAAGATTAGATAAAAAGTGTGTTCATAGTATTTTGTTACAACCTATTTTGAAGTGTTTATAATTTTTTTTTAATTTTTTGTTTAGTTATATATATATATATATATACATATATGTATTCTATTAGTAAATTAATTCTTTTTATTTTAATTAAGATTTTTTTATTTTAAGCTTAATATGATATGTCAATGTATCATCCTCTATTTGCTCTTTTTTTTCTTTTTATAACTTAATTTTAGTTTTTTTTCAACTTTTTTCATTTACTTTTCTCTCACTTTTTACTTTTTTTTTTTGGTGTTTTTCATATTTTTTGGACTAATTTAAAAGAAAAGTTGGTCAATTAAGATATACATGTTTCATCTCCATTTATTTTTCTCTCATTTTATATATTTTTTAAATTGGATAAATTTTGCAACAAAAAACAATAATTAGATATGGTAAAACAGAAAAAAATTTACTCGCAATTAGATCAAATAATTCAAAACATGACTCAATGGTATAATATAAAAAAGATATAAAAAATGAAAATAACACAAGTTAAAATTGTAGCAAAATAAATAAAAAATAATTTTTTTGTATTAATATGAATTATAATATGTAATTTTTATGAAAAACATAATATAAATATACGAATTCTTAATATTTTATATAACACGATTACATGAATTGACAAGTCTATCTGTGACATCATGTGGACACCTTTCTAATTATATATATATATATATATAACGTTATGAATGCTTTTTAAATTATGATAAAATATTTAATGCAATGTTAGAATTTAAAAAAATTAAAATATGGTAGTTGAATTATGGATCTATTAGTTAATATGGTGTTTGCTTCTAATATAATTAATCTAAAATAATGATACGTGACAAATAAATAATATTTAAATATTATATTAATTAATAAATCTGTAATTTAAATATTATATTAAAAAATTTTTAAATTTATGCATCACGTTAAATATTTATTATTCAAAATCATTTGTGACATTAATCATAAAAAAATAAAAAATACTATTTGCAGTACTAATTTCCCTCAAACTCTTGATCATTGGTATATAGTCTTAATTATTACAGGATATTTGGTTCGTGAAATTTTAAATTTTGAGAAAAAGTATGATCTTTGAAGAAGTATAATTTCGAAGAAAATGTGATTTTTAATGGCATCTCATTTTTAAATTCCTATATTTAGTTAGGAGAAATATGAGATTACTTAATCATTCTTTTTACTATAATGTCTTTCACTACATAACAAATCTAACAATTTGTTAAATAAAAATAATTGACAAAAAATACATTTCAAATTGTAGAAACACAATATTCGACTGACTAATTATAAAAAAAAAAAAGAATTAGTCATCAATTATTGCATTAATTTCATGCAGTAATTGATTATACACTTGTTTTAAAAAAATTATAATAAATAATTATTGCATTTAGCTTTAAAAAAATATAGTAATTGATTAATTTGAAAAAATTATAATATACAATTATTGCGTTTATCCTAAAAAAAATAATTAATTATTTTTAAAAAATAACAAATAAGTATTGCATTTACTTTTAAAGAAATTTAATAATTAATTATTTTATTAAAATTATAATATATAATTACAGCATTTATGACTAAACAAAATACAATAATTGATTATTTTAAAAAATTATAATGAATAATTGCTGTGTTTATTTTTTAAAAGATGAAATATTTAATTATTTTAAATAAATTATAATAATTAATTATTACATTTATTAAAAAAATACAATGATTAAAATTTTTATATATTTTACAAAAATTACAAAATATAATTGGTGCATTTAATTTTACTGAAACGCAATAATTATTTATTTTACAACAATTCATTGGCATTGTATATATTATAAGTAGATAGCTAAAAAAAATTTTAGATCCATCGCATGGGTCCCATCTCCAATTGTTCCTTCTACATTTTATTTGGTCCCCTCATTTCATAGCGCGTTGATCCCATCTTCAATTAATGCAACGGAGAGACTCATATTAGCCGCTGCCACATATCTAACGACTTCAAAAGAGTGGAATGGCATGTGAAAAATAAAAACGCAGTAAACGATCATAATTATTGCATTTCAAAATCTTCAAACGTAATATTCAATTAAAAAATATAAAAAAATTTCATAGTAGTCAAATAGTATTTTTTATTTAAAGAAACGTGGTAAATATTATAATTATTGTATTTTAAAATTTATAATTTCAGTATTTGAATGAAAAAAATAAAAAAATTCATAATTATTGTATTTTTTTATATAAATGTCATATTTGACATTTAAAAAAAAAAAAACTCAAATGCTATCCCACATTTTTCAATAAACATAATATTTGTGATATTTATTTTTTGTTAAAAAATTTTAAATTTCATTATCATATATTGATTTTTAAAAAAATAAAATAAAAAAATTTTTTTATTCAAATTAAATATGAAATAAAGGTTTTTTTTTTTTCAAAATCTTAGAATATCACGGAAAAGTAAAATTTTAATTCCTAAATTTTTGAGTACTGTTAAGAGATTTTTTCAAGAATCGGATACATCTAATAAAACATGAAAATTTAAGTACTCAACAACAACACTCCAAAGGAAATTCTGGTGAAGATATCTTGCATTCTGGGGTTAGGATGCACGGTGTTAATGCTAAAGAACTTCAGTCAGCTTTGCAAGGGCATCAGCAGCACTCACTTACTCATGCAGATATAGCATTGATTCTACTTGCAGAAATTGCATACGAGAATGATGAAGACTATCGCGAGCACTTACCTCTGCCCTTTCATGTCACATTTGTTTCAATGGATAGCTCTGAGGATTTGTACTGGAGCACTGCCAGCATTTGCTTGTTAATCTACTATACTCACTTGCAGGTCGGCACTTGGAGCTGTCTGAGGTTGAAAGCAACGATGGAGTGAACAAGCAGCAGGTTGTCAGTTTGATCAAGTATGTTCAGTCAAACCGAGGGAGCGTGATGTGGGAGAATGAGGACCCTACAGTTACAAGGACAGAGCTTCCTAGTGCTGCACTTCTGTCTGCACTTGTTCAGAGTATGGTTTGATGCAATCTTCTTCCAAGGAGATCTTCAAGAGACTTGGGGTGTTGAGGCACTCAAATGGGCTATGGAATGCACGTCAAGACACCTTGCCTGTCGTTCTCACCAGATCTATCCTGCATTGCGGCCTAGTGTTACAAGTGATACATGTGTATTACTCCTTCGTTGCCTACATAGATGCTTGGGAAATCCAATACCTCCTGTTCTGGGCTTCATCATGGAAATTTTACTGAACTTGAAAGTAATGGTGGAGAACATGGAGCCAGAAAAGGTGATTCTCTACCCACAACTCTTTTGGGGTTGTGTGGCCATGATGCACACAGATTTCATTCATGTCTACTGCCAGGTTCTTGAGCTTTTCTCGCGTATGATTGACCGTTTATCATTCCGGGACAGAACAATTGAAAATGTTCTCCTTTCCAGCATGCCTCGAGATGAGCTTGATAATGTTGATATTGGGGATTTTCAGCGTATGGAATATAGGGGCTATGATTTGCCAAACACCAGTGGCAATCTGCCAGCATTTGAAGGAGTGCAGTCCCTTGTACTTAAAGGACTCATGTCCACTGTTAGTCATAGCAATTCAGGTCCTCTCTCGTATCATAGTGCACTCATGTGACTCCATTTTTGGGGATCGCAAGACTAGACTACTGATGCACATTACAGGATTGCTTCCCTGGCTTTGCTTACAGCTCGGCAAAGACCCGTTGGTGGGCCCAGCTTCACCACTGCAACAACAGTACCACAAAGCCTGCTCCGTTGCTGCCAACATCTCAATTTGGTGTCGAGCAAAATCATTGGATGAATTAGCCACTGTGTTTATGGCTTACACCAGAGGTGAGATCAAAAGCATTGATAATCCCCTTGCCTGTCTCACCGTTATTGTCCAACGAATGGCTCCCTAAGCACTCAGCTCTGGCTTTTGGACACCTGCTACGGCTACTGGAGAGAGGTCCAGTTGAGTATCAACGTGTAATATTGCTCATGCTTAAGGCATTGCTCCAGCATACCCCCATGGATTCGGCTCAGAGCCCACACATGTATGCCATTGTATCACAGCTAGTTGAGAGCACCTTGTGTTGGGAGGCACCAAGTGTGTTAGAAGCTCTTTTGCAGAGTTGTAGTTCATTGCCTGGTTCACACCCACTTGAGTCTGGGCCAATTGAAAATGGGACAGATGACAAGATGCTAGCTTCTTAGACCTCATTCATGGCTCGAAGTGGGCCACTACAGTATGCCATGGTATCTGGTTTCGGGGTAAGTTCAACATCAGTTCCACAAGCAGTTTCCTCCGAGTCACTTATGACACCTAGAGAAGTGGCTTTGCAAAACACTCGATTGATCCTCGTGAGGGTGCTCGACAGCTGCGCCCTGGGGAGAAGAAGGGAATATAGAAGGCTGGTGCCTTTTGTGACCACAATTGGAAACCCATGACCTGCAAGCCTGCACATTTAATATTTTTATATATATTTTTACTTCTTTTCCTTTTGCTATTAATTTTAAGTAGCTTACATTATACTTTTCAGATCAAGCGCTGGGAAAACTTGGGACCTGGCTCTGGGCATCATAAGTCTGTAATTGTTATTAGTGGTGTAATATTTTTGGAAGTGTTAGCATTCCAGGCCTATTCTTTATAACTGTGTAATTCCCAATTTCTCTCAAACCATTCCTTCGCTTTTGCTACCATCAAACTTCCAGTTTTTATTTTTATTTTTTTTAAGCCCGCTGTCATGGTCCTGAAGGATGTTATCAATAATTTTACATTGGGAATTTGATTGGCTGTGTAAATGTTTGGTATATCTTCGATTTTAACTTGTTTTTTCAAGGCAATACTATAAGATTCAAGAGATAAAAGTAGATAATATTTAACAAGTTGGTGTGAAACGAACAATATCTCTTGTGTGCTACTCAACATTCAACGGACTGCAATGAGACTTTAAAGTCCTATTAACTATGATGTGCAATTCAGGCTTCAAGGAGAAGGAAGCATATCGATTAGCTGGAGAAAAGAAATCTCGAAATTGGTTGTAAAGTAAGTTCATCAATTTAAGAGCTTCTAATTCAAAAGCAAAGATATTTCCGTGGTTGAAGAAGATGCTGATGACAATAAGAAGTCGGCTTCTGGATTTCTGCTTCTGTTTTTACTCATCTTGCTTTTTCTATCCGATGTGATTGTCAATTTCATTTACGTTTTTGTCTGGCAATTACAATTTATGTTTTAGCTTTTGCAGTTCAACTGAGATGAAAATAAGTTTCTGGTATCAACATCTTTGAATATGCTTTGTCTGTGTAGGTAGATTTTTGTTTTGAATTAAATACATATAAAATTTAAAAATTAATTTTATAATTTATGTTAAATATATTAAATACTAAATATATATTTTAAATTTTCTTAAATTTATGTATAATTTTTACTAAAATTTTAATTCATAACTCATAAATTTTATACCGAATGAATATTCCACTAGTTTGTTTATTCTTCTTTACTCTTTCCTTAATGACAAAGTTTGTAATATTAAAAAAAAAAAGAACAAAAAGATAAGATCAGAAGACTTAGAACAGAAAACGTGGCGTAGTCAGCAGTCCAGCAGGAAACTCCAACAAAAGTACACCATTACAAAACAAATATGATGTGACATTCCTTAACGCCATTGGTCCCCGTGGAATCTCGGCAACGTGAGTGGCCGCCGTGCCTTGACTTGCCTTGCCCCTGCCTTCATTGTCAAGAGAAAAATGTAAATTCCATAAATCAGCAGCTGCAGAGTGCAGAGTGGCTTACCGCTTTCACCTTCACTCATCATCCAAAAGAAAAAAAGAAAAAAAACCAAACCAAATAATTCTGTTTCACAATGGCAGAGGTTGAAAACAATGTTTGCTGAATACGATCAACGGTGATTGTCAGGATTTTAAGTCGCTTCTGTCTTCTTCAGACAGGGATTTCCTCGTCCGTAACAACGGTGATCAGGTAACTAAGTCCGGTAGAACAAATCTTTCTTGTCCTGATTTTTGTCTTCTTGTAACCTTTATCAAAGTTTGATTAAAAGGGTCTTTAGAAGAGGAAAACAGTTGAGTTTAGGATTTTCCTTTTAAACTTTTCTGTGCTTAAGTTTTAATCTTCTAGAAGGGAAAGCTGGGAAATTACATTTTTTGGGAATGGATTTTGTTTCTTTTAAGATTAGATGTAGTCAACTGGGATAAGGATTTAAGGATGTTTTCTGAACTGGGTTGGAGCTTTCCATTGGCTGCCTAAATCAAATGAAATTGACAAGTTATATTGGGTAAATATTATAGTTTTTAATAGTAATAATAATCGTAACTGTCTCTACACGTTTATTTTAATATGCTTTTTCAACGACTGGACCTGATGAATAATAATAGTATGAGATCTACTGTTGTGATTTTAGTTTAAGGTATATGAACTTTATGGTTTGTTGGATATTATCCTGTGCATTTGAGTGGGATCTGGATAACTGTCACTGTTGGAAGGGTTTTTCTTTTCTCTGTTCTTTGCGATAATTATGTTTGGCAATATAGCCTGAGATTTTCATTTTACAGGTTAAAATTGACAGTTTGAAGGGGAAGAAACTTGGATTGTATTTCTCAGCATCATGGTGTGGTCCGTGTCGAAGATTCACCCCTAAGTTAGTGGAGGTGTACTCTGAACTCTCTCCCAAAGGCGATTTTGAGATCATTTTTATCTCAGGAGATGAAGATGAAGAGTCGTTCGACGGTTACTTCTCTAAGATGCCATGGCTTGCAATCCCTTTTTCTGATTCTGAGACACGTGAGGGGTTGGATAAGTTGTTCAAGGTGATGGGAATACCTCATCTTGTGCTCTTGGATGAAAATGGTAAAAGTCTCCACTGATGACGGAGTTGGGATCATTCGGGAGTATGGGATTCGGGCCTATCCCTTCACCCCTGAAAAATTTGCAGCGCTTGCAGAAATAGAGAAAGCGAGAGAGGCAGCACAAACTCTGGAATCGGTTCTGATTTCAGGGGATCTGGATTTTGTCATTGGGAAGGATGGTGCTAAGGTATGGTTTTTAGGTTTCCTTAGATGCTGCTAATTCTTCAATATCCTCTCAACCTTAAATTCTGTTTTAACGAAAATGATTTGACCTTATATTGATTTGGAGTTTCTTCAGCATTTTTTTAGCTTCACTTTAGTCACTAGTCATGCATTAGACCATAGTTTTGTCACTACACACCCCACCATATTCTGCCCGCATTCTCTTTCACAGCTCCCTTCCCTTTTTTTAACTATTTTTTCTTAAGCATTTCATACTCCATACGAGTATAAGCAATGGTTGGCCGCAAGGCTACTCAACTCAGCCCCTATATTTCTGATGAGTAATCAATTTATCTCCTATTTCAGGTTCAGGTCACTGACTTGGTAGGGAGGACTGTTCTCCTGTACTTCTCTGCACATTGGTGCCCCCCATGCCGTGCCTTCACTCCAAAACTTGTTGAAGCATACAACAAGATCAAGGCAAAGGATGAAGCTTTTGAAGTGGTTTTTATTTCTAGTGACAAGGATCAAGCCTCCTTTGAGGAATATTATTCAGAAATGCCCTGGCTGGCACTTCCTTTTGGTGATGCTAGGAAGCCATTGTTGAGTCGCAAATTCAAGGTCCACGGCATCCCTATGCTTATTGCCATCGGACCAACTGGAAAAACTGTTACAAATGAGACCAGGAATCTGATAATGGACCATGGGGCCGATGCTTATCCTTTCACTGAGGAGCGCTTGAAGGAGATTGAGGCAAAGTATGAGGAGATGGCAAAGGAGATGGCAAAGGAGTGGCCTGAGAAACTAAAACATGAACTGCATGAGGAGCATGAGCTGGTGCTAACGCGTCGCAGGTCTTACTGTTGTGATAAATGCAACGAACAAGGACAAATCTGGTCATTCTACTGTGAAGAATGTGACTTTGATCTGCATCCAAAGTGTGCCCTGGAAAAAGATAAAGAAACCAAAGCTGATGAAAAGGAGGAAGAAAGTCCAAAGGAAGGCTGGGTCTGTGATGGGGAGGTTTGCAAAAGAGCTTGATGAACTTTATCCTTGGGTTTGGTGATGCCATTTTCTACGTTTCTTGTGTTTTCAGTTGTGGCAGTGGTAGTCTAGTCTACGGTTTGTTTCTTGTTGGGCTTGGAAATACTTGGGTGTTGTAGCAGTGGTTGTGTGCTATATGGTTTGTTTCTTACGAAGCTATGTCATATCTTACCATGTAGTAAAAACTTTGAAAACGGGTCTTAAATAGCAATGGTGTTCCAAACTTGAATGCATATCTACTAAAAAAATCCTGCAGATTGGGTGCTCTATATACTGTAGATTGGATTGCACTGTTCATTCTACGTGTTGATATCTTTTTTTTTTTTTTTACATATTTATTATAAAACTTTTTGGGGGTTCATAGCTTTCTTTTATTGGTGCGCTCTATTTCTTTATTTTTTTTAATATTATATATTTTTATTTTTTACATTTAATTATAAAAAAATTTTAAATGAGACATATTTTTTTGTTTTCGGTGGGACATTTTTTTCGGTTTGGTTTATTCCATTTTTTTTATGTATTTTATATTTTTTCAATAAGGGCTGGGATTCATTTTTTTTTTGCTTATTTTTTCAGTTTTACATTTTTTTATATGTTTTTTTATTTTTTCTTTATATTTTCTATAAAATTTTTTTGAAAGTAACATTCACGATTCTTTGTAGTATTTTCCTTGACTAAGATATTCATTAATCTTATTTATCAAATTGGAGTAATTTTAGACTTAATTCCTAAAATGAGGTATTTTGTATACGTGGAATCTATGTCAGATAAAAAATTTTTAATTAAATAAAATATTGTAAAAAATCTGATTGAAAAAAGCTACTATACTTCTATATTAATTTTTTATATTTCTACATTAATTTTTTTTCAATAAAAAAATGTAATTAAATATTTCACAATTAACAGAGAATAATTTTTAAGAACTCTAAAAAGAAATCAAAGGAATTAGAAAATCTCAAAATCCTAAAACTTTAAGCACTAAGTTAAGGTGGGGTAAGAAGCCATTTTTGTCCAAGATGAAATGAAGGAAGATGCGGGCTTTGAAACCCAGCACCGACGATGCAGATTTTCCTTTTACTTGCGAGTCAAACCGTAATTTTTTTTTATCCTATTCACTTTACCGCTTCAAACCATTACATGTTGCTGGATTAGCTTCTTCTTCATCAGTTAGCTCTTTTTTTATAATCCTTCATCTAAATTCGAAAACTAAATTTAAAGAGAGATACGGAGAAGAGGTAAGGAAAGGAAATGATCTCATGGCTCACCAAAAAAACAGCAAAATATAAGAAATTTCTTGATACAAAAACCCACAAACAAAAAAAAAAAGAGAGAGAGAGAGAAAATTCAAAACTAGAACAAAAAAATTAAACAAAATAAAA